CCCCCATCCGGCAAAGAACAGCTACCAACGGACTATAACTTCCGCTATCGGGTGAGCAACCTCGCTCGGCCATGTCCTCCACAAGTTTCAGTGCACCGCCAACTTTCCCTTTCTCAGAAAACGCATTGATCACAGGATTATACGTTGATGCAAGAGGAAAGTAACCATGACCAATCATCTCATTCATTAGGTCAAAAGCTTTGCGAACAGTGCCTTCTTGGCAAAATCTATGGATTAGACAGTGAAAGAATATAGCACTTGGAACTCCGTTTTCTGTAATCATCTGATCATAAATCTTCTTCGCATTCAATGTGGCGCCCTCCTCACAGAAACTAAAATTTTCAAGCTTCTATCGACAGCTCTGGGAAATAGTTTCCCCATACTGGTTAAGAACTCAAGTGCTTCGCCTAAACGATTTTCCTTATACAGCCCATATAACACACTATTTTAAGGAGAAATTTGGCCCCCAGAACCGTGTTTTCTCTCATTCATTAGTTCCAAAATTTCCAACCCTTTTTTCGTCCTTCCTCTTGCACACAAACCTCTAATTAACGTATCGTACATAACAAAATTCCAGCAGATGCCATCTGTTTCCATATCCTTAAACAGATCCAGAGCCATATCCAACATCCCAGACTCGCAAAAACAAGAGATCAAGACATTGTAAGTATCAACATTTGGAAGGCGTCCCTTTTTCTCCATTTCCTCCACAATGCGAAGAATGAATTTCGCTTCGCCTACTCTACAGAAACCCTTAACCAAGGTGTTATAAGCTACCACATCCACCAGTCCTCACTTGCTCTCCACTCTATCAATAAGCTTGAGAGCCTCCATTACACGGCCATTGCTGCAAAGAATTTCCAACACCTTAGTTACAGTGACAACATCAGGCACAAACCCTAAATCAAAGCACTTCTCTAGGAGAACAAGAGCTTGCACTAAATTCTCTTCTCCACAATACCCAGTTATCAAAATATTAAAGTCACATCATTCGGCGCTTCCATCTCATTCATCAAGCTTCTCGCTCTCCCAACTTTCTTGTTCTTGCAAAGCGCATGAAGCAACGTGTTATAGACCACAGTATTTGGAGTGATTCCCCGAGTCTTCATTGCTTGCAAAAGCTTAAAACCATCACCAATTCGATTTGTCAAGCAAAGTCCTTTCATCAAGATACCAAAAGTATAACCATCGCCTTCAATGCCACTTTCCATCATCTTCATCCTATAAAACTCCCTAGCTATATCTATATCTTCCTTCACAAGAACATCAAGTATTGTATTGAATACCTTCAAAGAAGGTTTCTGGTCATACTTGTAAACCAAGTCAAGCACATTGATCACTTGTTTTACCATGTGGGCACCGCCAAGACCTCGAATGATGGTGACAAAGATGTCTTCATCTGGGGGTTGTCCAATTGATGTGGGCATTTCATTGAGCAGTTGGTGAATGGTGTCAAAGCGGTGGAAGGTGCGCAGCTTGTGGATGAGAGTTCTGTATGTGGAGGGAGAGTGTCTGAACTTGGGGAGTTTGGAGGCCCATTTGAAGGTTTCGAGGGCTTACCCTTGATCTATTTCTGCCAATCAAACACTAAACAACATAAGATGATACATGAGATTACCAAAACTCCATTGTGGGAAATTAGAATGCTAACATAAATATGGAGGCCAAGAAAGATGCTAATGATATTTGGAGGTCATTTTTTAATTCCTGATATTTAAAAGCCATTTGAAATGGCAAATCTAGACAAATACAATTGTAAAGAATGCTAACATAAGTTTTCGTCCCAAATTGTCAAGAATACAAAAACTCTGAAAGGACTTAAAATCATAATTGCATTATTAAATACGCATTCCAGTTATGAAATTGAAACCATAAGCACCGAAACCAAACTGCATTCTAAACTCAGACTAAAACAAATAACAACCAAAAATAAGCTTTTGCCCCCAATGAATCATTTGTTCACCAATCACCATTGAAACTCCCTAGTCTAAAGCACATATTGTCACGCCACGGACCCTCAGTCATGGCAAAGGGTAGCATTTATTCTATTCTATGGCTGCATCTAACTTTTGGGTTAGACTGCCTACGTATGTTGTGAGGGGACCAAGCTGATCGTAATTCACATTCTAACAAAATCTAGCAAGGTCCCTAAGTCCGTTTTATAAGTTGTAAGATGCTGGCTGTCTTTGACCAACTAACAAGGTCCCTAACCAATTACCACAATTTTTCATAACTGTCAACTTACAACTGCATTCTTAACCAAGCCATTTTGCTACTGCATGTAAGTTCGTACAGCGGTTAAATTGAATTTCACATTATCCATGGAATTCAAAGAAACCACTATTATTGTAACTGAAAAATAAAAGAAATTACTATTATATCCAAAATAAGGCAGAGATTCATATTTCAAAATATGATACAGGAAATATATACATGAGCAGAATCCGCATAGTACCTTAGGGTCTCCAACATCCTCCTAAAAGCACCAACTCAGCAACACTTCCCAGGTCTTGAACATCATTTGAGGAATCATTTGAAGACACTTGATTAGTGAATAACATACAAGGCGTGCACATATAAGCCAAGTTTAAAACACTTTTAACGGAGTATGGGGGGTAAGTCATCAATAGTCCGGATTACCGGGTAGTCTGGCTTTATATCTGTTAGATTGTCAAGTAAGCAAAAATATTATTTCCTCAATTCAATCATGACCGTTCATTTCCCACTCCACTGAGTAGTCCGGACTATTGAAGAAAAACGGCAGTATCTGATCACAAGGAGCTATAAAACAAAACAAAACTGTGGGCATTGAGTTTTTCTTTTACCAAATAATGTTAATTTTGGTTTTCTTGTCTAGTTGAAACCAAACACTGAACAGAAAAACCCTTTTCCTCTCCCTTCAGCTTAAACATCTAACACGTAAAGCTCCTAATTAACTAATTTTTGTTTTTCTTTGATGACTTTCCTCAAACGCTTGGTATGCGGCATAACGCCAAGGAAACTTTCTACCCTTGGATTTCGTCTCCAGGACTAAAAACTAAATCATTATAATTTACAACCAATCGTGCATGCAAATTGCAAAGAAAAGGGGCTCGAATAAAGAAAACATGGAGATTTCCATATATGGAAGTACATCGTCTTACCTTGAGTTTCTGATATTGGAGCTCCCTTCGATTTAGAAAGGAGAAGGTGGCTGGGGTGAAGGCGAGGGACATGGAGCAAACTGGGCAGGGAGAAGCGGCGAGAGGAAGAAAAAGAAAGAAAAAAAATAAAATTAAAAACCCTGGATCAACACGACATCGTTTTGGTCTTGCCACTTAAATGAAAAAGAAAGCTAATGAAAATAGTTTGAAAATTTGAGGTTTAATGGTAAGGACAAAATAAAGGGTAAAGTGAATAGTATCAGGATTGACTTTTTAGTGTAAAAATATGATTTTTCGTTAAAGTGAATAGTATTAGTATTGACTTTTTAGTGTAAAAATATGATTTTTCGTTAAAGTGAACAGTAAATAAAATGGAGCGTCTTGCTTGTCTTTGGGTCCGGCCATTCTCCTTCTATCTCTATTTGCAACCAGCAATTCCTGGTGAAACCCCCTACAAACTTGACCGAGTCACATTTGATTCACGACTTATAAATCTCCGAGCTATACTCCTGAAATCTAGATCCAATGAAAGAGAAGGGGGTGTGGGATGGGAGGCTAGTGGGAGAGATTAGAGGGGTGTCGACGCATGAGCTCCTATCATTAGAGCATCTCCAAATGTACACATCAACTATAATAGTAAAATAAGACTACACTAATATTCTCCAACCGAAGTGCCAAATCCTATCTGGCAATGACATGGATTGGCAACAAAAAAGGTTGCGATCAAATTTGACAACAGCTTCAAATGTTTTTTTTATTATTAATTATTAAATGTGTTTTATTAAATTTTAATTAGTAGGAAGGTGAACAGATTACACCAAAGGCCTCAACGAAAATGCGATCAAATGGATCAAACAAGTACCCAAATCCCCAGTGTTAAAAAATTTTCAAAAACCCATTTCACATCTATGAGCATTCAATTTCTAGTTTTCATTTTTCAATTGAATACCTGCAGGGATAAAAAATTGAAGCGCTAGAACAACAGTAACAATCCCCACAAACGATCTGATCGCCTCTTGTCGAGAAACTCACTTCCGACGCATACCCAATATCGCCACTGCAATTGGGCACCAATAGCGGCAGCGGTCCCACTCTACCTCTGCTAAAGTTCCACACTAGCCTGCTTGAGCCTCACAGCTTGGTTTAATTAGTTTAATAATTTTTTTTTATAAAATAATAATTTAATTTGACATATCGGTTGGAGAACAAAATTTTAAAAGATGTCAAAGTGCCATATAAGCTGTCAAAATTTAAATTTTATGTTCAAAATTTGACATCTCCTTTAGAGATGGTCTTAGGGTTCTTATTTTTTATATTTTTTAAAATTAAGAAAATAAATTAATGTATGTCTAAGTCATGCTCACGTGTCTCATTTAGTATTATAATTTAGTGGTATTAACTAGTATTACAGTCTAATGTTATCTCTCTTCACTTGTAAGTGAGAGGTCTTAGGTTCGATTCTAACAAAATGCGAGTTTGAACCCATTATTGCTAGCGCATCCCATTATGAGGCTAAGCCCACCCCCTCCTCTTAGTGTAGATAATATCATTTGTTCAAAAAAAAAAAAATCACGCTTATGTGGATTCATGTCAGCAAAAATGTAAATGTAAAGTCTATATTGTGCACATCATGAGTTAAATTTATTCAAATTCCTCTTCCACAAATAAACATGCCCTAAAATAATTTCGGTGTTTAATTCCTGGAGGTAAACATGCCATTAATAACACAGTTACTTATTTTTTTGGTGAGACATGAGACACGGCATGCTAAGTGAAACATTTCAGACATGGGACATGGCATGCTGAGTAAATAAAAGGCAAAAACATTCGAAACCGCAGTTTCTTGCTTCTTCTGTTTTTCATCCACCAAATCTATCGACTTCGCTCCCCGCTCTCTCTCTCGACCTTCTCTGCGAATCCCGTCTCGAGGAGAGGAGTTCCAAAGAAAACCGAAGAACAGAAAGAATGGTAAGGAGGAAGAAGATGAAGCAGCGCTTCACCTTCTTCTCCTCCTCTTGAGATTCATGGCCGCTTCTCAGCACCGCTGCGTTTTTGGTACTCTTTCCTTTTTCTCTTTCATTCATTCTCTGTTTGCTTCCCCAGAAAATTCGTCGAAAAATTATGTAAATCTTGCGGCGTCGATTTTGATTCGAAATCGATTGCAATGAGTTCAATCGAGTACGAATGCCAATTCTTAAATCTTTTAAGGGTTTTACGGAAATTGGGTTGAAATTTTATGGGTAATTTTTGAATTTCATTTTTGGTGGTGCAGTGGGGAATATACCTTATGATGCCACTGAGGAACAGCTTGTAGAAATCTGCCAGGAGGTTGGTCCTGTTGTATCTTTCAGGTCAGTCAGTTGACTCACTTCCCAATCACGCAAATTTACAATTCTACGTAAACCCTAAAATTGAACTCTAATTCTGCTGTATATGTTACTTAGAGACTGATACATCGTTGCTCCGAAGGAGAAAAAAAAACAATATAATTTAATCACAAATTTACAATTTTACGGAAACCCTCTTCTTCCTGTCCTTTTGAATTCTAATTCTGCTTTTATGTTTACTTAGAGACCGATTTAAAATTGTTTCCGAAGAAAATATACAATCTTTACTTGCAAAATTTAGAGGCAGTTGAATTTTAAAGGATGTTAAATGAGTTGTTTTTCTTATGCTAGTGAAGCTATATGTTCTAGGATGTTTGTACGTTAAAAGTGTCTTCAGTTTGTGAAGTGAGTTTAGAAGCGAAGTCCTATTAGCTATTTTCGTTTAGCTGATGCTACAATATTCTGTAGGTTAGGAAGTAGGTGTACTGTCTGGTAAATATCCAAAATTCTGGGTTTCCGGAAGTAGCCGAATATTTTTAATTTATTTTTCTATACTTCCTTTTTTGTTTCAGACTAGTTATTGATAGAGAGACTGGAAAACCAAAGGGTTACGGGTTTTGTGAGTACAAGGATGAAGAGACTGCTCTAAGTGCTCGTCGTAATCTTCAGGGTTATGAGATCAATGGCCGGCAATTACGAGTGGATTTTGCTGAAAATGACAAAGGCACTGATAGAAGTCGAGATCAGGTGACTAGGAGACTTATAGCTGCAATGTTATCCCTATTTTCTTGCTTTTCAATTTTTTTTTTTAAATGTAATTTGCACCACTGTAGTTTATTTGCTTTTACTGTCACCTCTCTTGTATTAGAAGTTGCTTGACCAAGCTTGAAGGATATTTTGTGGATGCTAAATTCTTGGATGATGAGTCTGACCTGGATTGTCTAATATTGACCATTGATTTGGAATTAAATGTATCTAAAAGGGCTGGACTACACTTATATTTTGCTGTTTTCTTTGGTTTTTCAGACATTTCAGTTGGTTAATCTGTTACAAAATTGTTTGCATATCCCCCTGTTTTTAAATGTTTTGCATGCTGTTTCCTAGGAAATGCAGTCAATATACCAAACGAGTGAGATAAATCATCTTGATATGTAAATGCTAGTGACAGTTGAATAGGGGGTTATGCCAGGATTGAGTATGTGTTAGTGCATATAAATGTTGGTTTTATTGTAAGCTTAAAGGGTTTTTTTTTTTTTTTTTTTCTCCATTTGCAGGGTCGTGGTGGACCAGGATTGACTGCTAATGTTGGTTAGTTTTCTTCTTTTTTTTTACTTTTCTTGTTTTTCTGCGCTATTATTTGACATAAGAGCAATCTGAAATTGTGCTATCTTTTTTCTTTTGGGTACATCATAGATCCTCAAAAGCAAGGAGGGGGGCTATCTGTTCATGCAGAATCTCTTCAACATCAGCCAATTGGTCTCCATATAGCTATTACTGCAGCTACTGCCATGGCAGGAGCTCTAGGTGGTGCTCAGTCTGGTTTGCAGAATCAATTGGCATCACCAAATGATCCCTTGACACTTCATCTGGCCAAAATGTCTAGGGGTCAGTTGAATCAAGTTATGTCGGAGCTCAAGGTGAGCAATTGAAGAAGCTTATTTCTTTGTTTTGGATCCGTCTTGGTGTGTTTCTCATATTTTTTTATTTTTTATTATAGGTAATTGCTACACAAAACAAAGGGCTAGCTCGTCAACTATTGCTTGCAAGGCCACAGTTGCCAAAAGCCCTCTTCCAGGTAAATTTTGACTCTTTGTAATAGTGTTTATGTGGTACAGATTTCAACCAGTAAATTTCTTTTTTGATACTACCCTTTCGTCATAGCTTTCATGCATATTCATTTGTAAATATGTAACTTCCCGGAAGAGTAGATTTGATTGAGCTGTATATTTCTGGTTTCCTTGTTCAGCGAGGTCCTTCAGACATGCTTTCGACAGAATTTTGTTTTCCCCTCTCTTTTGTCTACTTCCTCTTTGTACCCTTTTTGAAGGGCCAACATATTGATAACCTTTTTCACTTGTGCTTTTGTGCTGTGGCCTGTTTCTTTTTCTAATCGTTATAGTGTTGATATCTTAACTTTATTTTCAGGCACAAATAATGCTTGGAATGGTGAGCCCACAAATGGTTCGTTTCTCCACCTGGAACTGTCATTTCAATATTGTTAAGTACTTGTGTTTGTTGAACTTATTAACGGTAAGACATTGACTTTCCTTCTTCAGTTGCAGATGCCAAATATCAGGCAAGCTTCGGGTCATACCTCACAGCCTCCATTCAACAAGGCCCAGCAGGCTCAGTCACCTGCACTTCAAACCCCCGCTGAGTTGCACCCTCCTGCACCTAATAAGTTGCAGTCTGGGTTGGTGCCCAATGTCCAAGAAGGCCAATTTGCAGCTGTACCTCAAAATCCATTGGGTAGAAGCCAGTTTTCTGCACCCCAACAGCAACCCATGCAGCCTCGAATGCAGCTTCCACAACATGTAAACCACCACATTTTGCAACAGGCCCCATTGCTGGGGCAATCTGGAGTTCCAACATTTCCTCCCATACACCCTCAGTCTTCAAGTGGTTTGTCCTTTCGACCCCAAACTCAGCTTACGAATTCTTCTAGTTCAAACCAGAAAATGCAGCCTCCTCTGATACAGCATCCGGGTCAGGTTGGACGTGCCAACTTTGGGCATAACACTCGGATGGTTAATCCAATTGCTACTGTACAGCATTCTTCTTTACCTCGTCCTCTATCTGAAGCCAGCTTTCAGGTGCCAATTTATAGTACTTGTCATAATTCTTCGAGTTTGATGTCTACCTTTGATAAAAAAAAAAAGGATTAGTTGCATAGGTGGATGGAATGATTAGTTAAGCTGAACAGAAACTTACATAATGCACTATGCTTGTTGTGTTGTATTTGAGTTGACTGTTAATAAAATTTCTGAATGAAGGTTGCTGGTTTGTGTTTACAAAATTCAGATGACTAGGGTGTGAAAAAACCATCTGGCTGCCATCATTTGGTGCTTTTAGTTATCTTTTTAGTTTTTTTTCATTGTTTGTGTTATCTAACTTGCTTTCTTTGTTTGTTTCATTGTCTTTGGGAATCTCACAGGTAATCAACAAGGATGCTGATAGATCTTTTCAAGCGGTTAACGATTCAGTAGAATCAGTTAAGCGCCCTTCAAAGCTAATGAAATTGGATGATGGAAGTAGTAGCACTTTGTCAAGAGTGGGTCTTGATGTGCCTCTTGCCAATGGATCCGTATTGCCCCATGCTTTGCCTGTGAAGCCTGTTCATAAGTCAGAAGAAGTACAGCACTCTGAGAAACAGATTTCTCAGGTAATGTCTTCCCTGGTGATTACTATTCCAGTATATTTTTCATATTTTCACAGCTAGTTTGGTCTTGAAACCGGAAATTTTTGTGTAAAAAGAAAAGTTGTCTTGATGCTCAGTGACAATGTTTTGGTTTTTTGGTATCATGAATTGCTGGCAAATTTTTATTAAGATTATGTTAAGGCCTGTGCCTCCAACTGAAAAGTATTAACGAATTGCCAATGGGTAGAGAGTCCTTAAATCTTGTACATTGAAATGTAAGGCTTACTTTTACTGATGTGAGAATTGATATTCTCAAAACATCCCGTCACATATGAGCTCACATGAATTTATATTTTCACTTATATTGTGTTGTGGAGCACGTTTTACAAAATTAGGCCTGACACCTGATGAATTGCTTGTTCTGATATCATGTTGCTTGTACAGCATTTAATAGAAAAGCCAAGTGCAAACCAAAGGCATAGGATTTTGTAAATTCAAAGGTTAGATAAACAGAAAACAATGCGGGAGTTTATATTCTCAGTGAATTGGGGAAAACTTTTGTGACATTCCACACATTTTTGTAGCTTAAGCATTGCAAAATTTTCTCTGATAAAGGGGATTTTCTATATAACGTTTGGTGACCAATTATTTTCTCTTAACTAGTGGATGGAGGTTTGGAAAAGAAAATCAGTTAGATAATGAACTATTGGTTTAAATCATCTGTAGCGATTAATCAACATCTCAAAGGATTTTACTTGTGGGTTCTTGATGAACTAGTGTATGTAACATAAAGACTTAAAAGGAATTTAGAAGTGATTTACTGATGCAAGAGTCAACTTTTTAGTATTGATACGCCCATCCAAGAACTACATGATTGACAGCTTGTTTTTACCTTTACTTAATGTAATTTACACTCGTGCTCTGGGTCTATTGTTTTGGATTCTTATGTTCATTATCTTTGACCCTCTCTATGTTACATGATCAATGTCTTAGGTGTCATGAATTATGCCCTTTAGAATTCCTAAGCGTATTAATTTGGGCCTTTCAATGATCCATGTACCATTGTGGAATGGAGCAGAATAATGGATAAGTTTCACTCTGACGCCTAGGATCAGTCCATATGATATACCTAGGATATCGATGGATGGAATAGGAAGGTGAGGGGGATATGAAAGGTGGGTTTTGTGAATGTAGTATAGTCTCTTCCTTCACACATTGATAATGCAGGTGCTAAGAATAAGTTCAGGGAATGGGGCTAGCTTGGTGTAACGGGGACCGCAATTAGTTGGGAACGAGAGTATTTGTTGAATTACTATAAAGAGGCGGATGTGAGGATTGGAAGGTCTTCTTGGGAATTTAGCAATTTACTTTTTTGCGCTTTTCTGGAATTGTAGATTTTTATTGACAATATCTAACACATGCATAGAGTTTATGCTTTGGTCGTATGTGAGTGCATGTAGTTTCATTTCCTTGTTTTCGTATTTAAGAATTTTGTCTCAGAAAGATGGTTGCTCCAGAATCTTAATGTAAACTTACAATAGGATGCAGTTAATGTCTCCAGCTACGTATGGTTGATGTTTATTATAAGAAAAAGTTTTGTTTCTTTTCGAAAAACAACTAGGCAAGAGATGCTGATATCATGGTTAATCTTTCAGTCTCAGCTTCCACCTGGAGTAGAGTCTGCTCTACTACAACAAGTTTTGAGCCTAACACCTGAAAAACTGAGCTCATTGTCTCCGGAACAGCAACAAGAAGTAATAAAGCTCCAACAGATGCTTCGGCGAGATCAGATTCAGCCATCGTAGCAGAGTCATAAATGGCGGTTTTGATGCAGGAATTTGTTACATGTGCAGGCACCAACTTGGTTGCCAGAATAACGAAAGGTATGGTATTGATTCAATCCATTTTGATTGTTTGTAACAGTATGTTCACTTAAAGAGTTAGATCAGAGGATCCGCAGTGGAGCACTATCGTATTCATGAAAGCTTAGGCCAGCTTGTGTTTTAGTCTTGTCCGTAAGTTAGTTAGAATAGGAAAATTTTGTCTGGATCACAACGTTTAAATTTACGTTCCCTTGCTAAAATTTGTTCGTTCACTTTTGAAAATCCTTTGCTCCAAACGTTGTGTACTGTGCTCAAGGTATATTCGAAAACTACAAAAGCTTCTTCGATCGCTTCATCTACGAAAGCTTCTCGGATCGCTTAATTATCTGTATCGTCACTTGGTTTCTCCATAGTTGTTTTCTTAGTTACAGTGTTCAAGTATTGAGGCTAGAGGGTGTATGGCTCGATTCCCCGTAAAAGAGGGAAAACAAACATATACAAATTTGCTTTGCAATGTGGCCGTGGTTTATGACAGAGAGACAAATATACTCAAATTTACTGGGAATGAAATTCAAATTTGGTCTTAAGGCGCCGGCCTGACATAACCAACCAAGTGATGTAATTTACATTTTTAAAGACGTCCACAATCATATCGAGTGTGACGAGTTACATCACTAAATAGAGTAGCCATCAAGATTAAACACACAAATTTAAGCATCGGCCCTGGATTTTGTTGCAGCAAACCAAGTAGATAAGTTTGTGTAGAGAGCATCACCAGTCTCATCCTTCTCTCTTTCACATACTTGTCGAGAGCCTCTCCCACTTCAACCATCATTCCATTCCTTCCGCTCGATCTTCTATCGTAATTTTTGGCCAATGTCGGAGCCAAGCTTCTAGCAATGACAATGGCGTCTTCGATGCCTGCGGAGCCTCCCTGCCCGAGGAAAGGCCCCATTACATGCATGGCATCTCCAGCCACCGTCACGCTTCCTTTTCGAAATTTTTCTACCAGTATCTCCCATGGCGGACGATATCTCAAGAGCACGTGAGATACTGATTCTAGGTCACTCTTTCTTATCATGTCTACCATTTCTGAAGGAAATTCTTCGATCAACTGTAATGTCAGTTGTCGAATGAGCTCTGGATCCTTCGAAACCTCCGACGGATCTGTTACAAGTACAATTTCTTTGATGCAGTCACGATTCGAAAAACAAGGGATACAATTTTGTAGAAGAAAAGAAAAAGAATGCACCTTGTCTGCCATGAACTTGGTGAGTGACGAACCAGGAGACCAAGTTATCATGAACTGGAATTCTTCCAATTGTCTTCTTGTCACCCTTAACCATTACAAGCTCGTTTCCAAAATTATGACCACCTGGGTAAACTGTAAAACCTCTAACCCCCGCTAACATGAACGGCTTTGATGGTTTTACACCGACGAAATCTGCGACAACTGATTTTGTTCCATCACAGCCGATCAAAACCTGATTTGATAATTAACAGCATTAATCGATATTCGAAAACTGAGAAAATTGTAACGATACAGAGAAGAAATGAAACGACCGCGATCGAGTGGTAGTGTATATATACCTTGGCTTTGATGGTGCTTCCGTTGTGGAGTTGAAGAGTTGGATGGGAAGTTAAGGAGTCCAACTTTACCGATATTGCTTGGCATCCAAGGCGTATGGTACCAACTGGCAAGCTCTCTGCTAGTGTTGCGATCAGATCACTCCGTTTCAAGCATCGTGCTTCCCAACCTCTATTGACATGACAGTATTTCATTTATTAACCGATTTTCAACTTCATTTATTTCTAACGAAATTAAAGTACTGACATGTACTGCACTAACATATCACTCGGTGAACAAATTTACTAAAAATATTTTATAACTAGCATTATTGAATTAGATAATTATTTAATAAGAGCTGTTATAGACACTTTAACAATGTTGAGCTCGCTTTGGAAGTGTTTCTAAAATGAATAACAACGCTTTTGGTGAAAAATGTTTTTTTTGGAACAAATTCTGAGTAAAAATGCAAAACACTTGGAGTGCTTCTCACAGGAAGCACATAACTAGTCATTCTTGCAAGAAGCACTTCAAATGCTCTTGGAACCCAGCTTTTTTTCTCCAACAACGGTTTTAGTCATTTCAAAAGCACTTCCGAATGAGCTCATGCACTCCTCTTGTATATTTTGTCCCACATATCCTCTTGTATATTTTGTCCCATATATTTTCATATACAAAGGATATAGAATGTCATTTTTCGAGTGCTAATAACATTTTCTAGCATTATGTGAATTAATTTGTGGGTCATATATACTCACTTACCCATACGCCATTTCTCGTTGCTTGCCATCATTAAGGTATATCTCACGGACTCTGTACAACACAAGAGTGTGAGTTATTTTGTATCAGATAGACATGTTTAAAAAAAATGTAAGGATCCGAGCAATGTTCGAATATATAGACATATGTACCCTTGAAGTGGTTGGGCAGTTTGTCTGAGCTTTGAGGCCACACCAAGCTCATCCAAGGCTCGCCAACCATTTGCTCGAATAACGATACCTCCTCCGGTAGCACGCAGGGATTCTGATCTTTCCAACACAACACTTGTGAACCCCTTTCTGCATGATATATACAAAACATATCCACTTTTACTATCATGATTACTATTTAATATGACAGTCAAATATTTTCAGATTTGAGTGATTATTTGTAGATATAATATTTGAGAGAATATCTGAAAGATGTAAGGTTAGATACGATTAAGGTGAACCTCACAAATAATCCTAAAACAGCTTATTAGAGGAATTCCTGAACTGAAGGAGACTGTATGTATGTATTCATGTAATTTATCATGCTGATAGTCAACTACATTTGAAATAAACCATTCACATGAAGAATAAATTTGTAATGAACTAATGATGTAACTGGTAGTGAAAGATGAAACCTATGGAGAGCAAGGGCAGTTGCGAGGCCGCAGATTCCACCACCAACTATGACGATCTCTAACTCTTCATCTGCTATTTCCATTTTTTTCCTCTCCCCTCCTCTCTCTTTCTCTCTCTCTCTCTCTCTCTCCTCTCTCTCTCTCTCTCTCTCTCTCTCTCTCTCTCAGTGTCTTTGGTTGAAATATGCTTTATATATTTTGTCTCCTTTGTTTAACCTTTACTTAGTCAAGTGTCCTGTTGCAAAATTGTCAAATGTCAATCGAGTCCCACTAATATTGCATTGCATTTTCCACACACACACATATTTATATATGTGGTTGATGTGAAATGCCTTTGATTGGTACATAAAACTATATTATTTTGTGGATTTTTGCTATCATATCAAGTAATGTCTTCATTTATAAATAAATAAAAAACAAATAAATGGTTCTATTTCAAAAGAGGTGACGTTTGTTAAATTGTTCGGCAAGTGGCTTCTTTTAATACCATTTCCTAAGGAGGTGGATTTGAGGAAGGTAGAATCTGAATCAAGTGGCTTTGCGTTCACACTATGATTTGTTCTCTACATATTTGAAGCCAAGGCAGAAAGAGGGGACACTCAAAACAATCAAACAAATTTCTCTCTAGAAAACCAACAGCCGCACTCTTTCCATTTCATTGCAAGCTCTTTCATTTCTTTCAATTAAAGTCAAAGTGCTCTTTCAATTCATTATAGCTTTGTTGTCTTTACAAGTATTCCTCCATCTTAATACAAGTTCTCTCTTCAAATTTGTTATTGTCATTTCAATACAAAGCACTAAACAATTTCTCTTTCTCTTCACCATTCCCGTCTTGTGATCAAATTCTCTACATAAGTAAAGAATTTAAGTTGAGCCACTCCCACTCAATGACACAATCTTTTAGTTAGAAGTTAAATAGCGCAATTTCCATCATTCAAATCTCGTCTACTAACAGTAACCAATAGTGGCACGCGTGCAATCTCCAATCTCATATTGAAGTAAATTTCCGGCCCACCCACAAGGACCATGGCAAATTTATGGGGCGAACAGGTTCCCTTCGGTTTGGTCCATGATGTCTTCCTAAGAGAGATAATATAAGTGTAGTTTGTTACATGTGCAGGCACCAACTTGCTTTACTAAAGCAACAAAAGGTATGGTATCGATTCAATCGATTTTGATTGTTTATAACAGTATGTTCACTTAACTTTTGACAATCCTTCGCTCCAAACGCTGTGTACTTTGCTTGAGGTATTTTCAAAAACTACAAAAGCTTCTTGCATCGTTTCATCTACGAAAGCTTCTTGGATCGCTTCATCATCTGTATCGTCAATAGGTTTCTTCCCAGTTGTTTTGTTATTTACAGTTATTTATGTGCTAGTTCAAGTCTTGAGGGTGTATGATTCAACGCCCCGCGAACAAGGAAAAAGAACATTTACAAATTTGCTTGCAATGTGGCCGTGGTTTATGACAAAGCGGTATAATCAAATGTACGGGAATGAAATTTAAATTTGGTTTCAAGGCACCAGGCCTGACATTAACCAACGGATGGAATTCATATTTTTAAAGACGTCCACAATCATATCGAGTGTGACGAATCACATCACTAAATAAAGTAGCCATCAAGATTAAACACACAAATTTAAGCATCGACCCTGAATCTTGTTGCAGCAAACCAAGTAGATAAGTTTGTGTAGAGAGCATCACCAATCTCATCCTTCTCTCTTTCACATACTTGTCGAAAGCCTCTCCCACTTCAACCATCATTCCATTCCTTCCACTCCATTTTTTATAGTGATTTTTGGCCAATGCGGGAGCCAAGCTTCTAGCAATAACAATGGCGTCTTCGATGCCTGCGGCGCCTCCCTGACCGATGAAAGGCCCCATCACATGCATGGCATCTCCAGCCACCGTTACGCTTCCTTTTCGAAAATTTTGTACTAGTATCTCCCATGGCGGACGATATCTCAAGCGCACTTGAGATACTGATTCTAGTTCACTCTTTCTTATCATGTCTACCATTTCTGAAGGAAATTCTTCGAGTATTGATTGTAATGTAAATTGTCGAATGAGCTCTGGATCCTTCGAAACCTTCGACGGATCTGCTACACATACAATTTCTTTGATGTGGTCACGATTCACATAACAAGGGATACAATTTTGTAGAAGAAAAAGAAAAAGAATGCACCTTGTCTGCCATGGACTTGGTGAGTGACGAACCAGTAGACCAAGTTTTCATGAACTGGAAGTCTTCCAATTGTGTTCTTGTCACCCTTAACTTGTACAAACTCGTTTCCAAAATTATGACCATCTGCGTAAACTGTAAAGCCTCTAACCTCCGACAACATGAACGGCTTTGATGGTTTTACCCCGATGAAATCTGCAACAACTGATTTTGTTCCATCACATCCGATCACAACCTGATTTGGTAATTAACACCATTAATCGATATTAGAAAACTGATAAAATTGTAACGATAGAGAGAAGAGATGAAGCGATCGAGTTGTAGTGTAGATGTACCTTGGCTTTGATGGTGCTTCCGTTGTGGAGTTGGAGAGTTGGATAGGAAGTTAACGAGTCCAACTTAACAGAGATTGCTTGGCAACCAAGGCGTATGGTACCAACTGGCAAGCTCTCTGCTAGTGTTGTGATCAGATCACTCCGTTTCAAGCATCGTGCTTCCCCACCTCTATCAAATGACGTAATATTATTTCATTTATTAACCGATTTCAAACTTACGTTTATTTCTAACGAAATTAAAGAACTAATATATCACTTGGTGATCAAATTTGAGTAAAACATTTTATGACTAGCATTATTGAATCAAATATTATTCGAGAGTTGTTCTTGACATTCTAACAATCTCATTTTGCACACTCCTGTTGTATATTTTCATATGCATGCGATACAAAATGTCTTTGTCCGGATGCTAATAACATTTCCTAGCATTATTTGAATTAATTGGGGGTCATATATACTCACTTACCCATATGATATTTTTTGTTGCTTGCCATTATGAAGGTATATGTCACGGGCCCTATAGACAAGAGTAAGTTATTTCGTATTAGTTAGACATGTTTACAAAAAATTTAAGGAGCCGAGCAATGTTCGAATATATAGACATATGTACCCTTGAAGTGGTAGGGCAGTTTGTCTGAGCTTTGAGGCCACACCAAGCTCATCCAAGGCTCGCCAACCATTTGCCCGAATAGTGATACCTCCTCCGGTAGCACGTAGGGATTCTGATCTTTCCAACACTACACTTGTAAACCCCTTTCTGCATGATATATACACAATATATATTCATATACACTGTTACGACTATCATTTAATCTAACGGTCAAATAATTTGGATTGTAGAGATGATCTTTGAATGAAGACCTAAAAGATGGACGACTGGATATGAAGTGTGGTGGGCCCTGCAAGGATCCTAAAATAGCTTATTTGAGGAATCCCTCAACAGAAGGAAGGAGACTGTATGTATGAGTATACACACACACACACACACATACAAATATACATATATCTGTATGTATTCATGTAAATAACTATGCTGATATATAGTCTGTAAAATTTTGAAATAACAACTTCATATAAAAACAAACCATTCACATGAAGCATAAATTTGTAATGAACTAATGAACTAATTGGTAGTGAAAGATGAAACCTATGAAGAGCAAGGGCAGTTGCAAGGCCGCAGATTCCACCACCAACTATGGCGATCCCTAACTCTTCATCACCTACTTCCATCTCTCTCTCTCTCTCTCTCTCTCTAACACACACAGTTTTTGGTTGAAATATGCTTTACCTATTTTGTGTTATTTGTTTACCCTTTACCCGGTGAACCACCAACTATGGCGATCCCTAACTCTTCATCACCTACTTCCATCTCTCTCTCTCTCTCTCTCTCTCTCTCTCTAACACACACACAGTTTTTGGTTGAAATATGCTCTACCTATTTTGTCTTATTTGTCTACCCTTTACCCGGTGAAGTGTCCAGTTGAAAATTGTCAAAATGGCAATCGGGTCCTACTCATAATGCATTGCATTTTCCATATATATATGGTTGATTGCGTAAAGCCTTTGTCTGATTGGTACATAAAACTACATTATTTCAAAAGAGGTGAAATTGCATAAATGACTCATTCTTTTCCACTTTTGTTAAATTATACCATAACATGGCACATCCGTCTAATTTCCGATTGCAAGTTCATCAATACGAGCTCATGACTCGCAAGAGGTCCCCTTAGGTTCTGTTTGTAACTTAAAATTGGCAAATTTCGCTCTTTTTGGACTAAATCAAATTGTGGTCTTTTGTAGGGTTATTGTGAAATTAGATTAGACTTGTATCAAGTAACACATATTTGGCTTACAGATATCAAAGTGGTACCCATTATTATATTGATATATGTTTAGAGATATTTCTCATATAAGTGAGGTGGGTTAGTATAAAGTAGCAAGTGGCTTCTTTTAATGTCATTTCTTAAGGCGGTAGATTTGGAGTACGTAGAATCTACATCAAGTTGCTTTGTGTTCGTACTATGGTTACTCAAACAATTAAACAAATCTCTCTCTAGAAAACCAACAGCTGTACTCTTCATTTCAAAGCTCTCTGATTTCATTATAGCTTTGTTGTCTTTACCAGTATTAGGTATTCCTCCATTTCAATACAAGTTCTCTATTTGAGTTGTTATTGTCATTTCAATACAAAGCAAGTAAGCAATTCCTTGTTCTCTTTACCATTTATATACTGTGATTGAATTCTCTACGTAAGTAAACTCCTTATCATACAAGGCAAAGAAGAACCTAAATTGAGCCACTCCCAATTGCACAATCTTTTGATTAGAAGTTAAACAAGCAATCTCTTTACTCAAATCCATCTACTAGAAGTAACTAGTAATGGCACGCTGGCAATCTCCAATCTCATGTTCAAGTAAATTCTCGGCCTACCCGCAAGGCCCATTGCGAATATAAGGGGCAAACAAATCAGCTCACTCGGTGTAACCCTTACGTTGAGTGTAAAGTTTAAAAAAACTCTAGGTTCTTATTGCCCAAGTAAGAACGTATGATTTCCAAGCTAGGAGAACGATGAATGAGAGAGATCACCAAAGGAGAATCAACCTCAGACAATAAGATGAGAGAAATTTTAGGTTTAGCTCTAGCTTTAATTATTTAAATTCATAAGGAGGTCTAAACATTGTTTTGAGACCTCACTTCGAACCTTTGCACAACTTGTCCGCACCTATGTAATTTTCTTATGAACAAATGCAGCCCATAAAATCCAGGAAAAAAAGAGCTCAAAATAGTTTCTCAGGTACTGGAACCCTCTGAGTTCCTGCTTGTCACAGTTCTATCGTGCGCTTTCGAATTTCTGTACAGATCACATGACGAATAAGCTAGCGACTTTGCTTGCTGTGGAAAATGCATTTAGAAATCATAAAACAATCCTTCGGATTGTCCTTGCAGCAGCACGGGAAATTAATCGTCCTGTAAGATCAGCCGGGAGATTAAGTAACTGCTGTTGTGATTCTGGTGGGAGCTGCCAAAGTAAAATTGCAATCAGCAATCAGCAAGCATGTAAAATGTAATCCTCATATTAACAGAGTATCAAATTAACTTTAGGCGCAAATTCAAGGCTTGTTTCGAAAGTCAACTTAAGAAAACAACTGATGATGCTTTCAATTCATTGTAATAAAACGATGCCTCCCCTGAAGCCCGATGATGCAAGCACTTGAATGTGACCAAAAATAAATTAAACTTCCTAGCACGGTAGCACCCCACAAGTCCCGACCCCATCTACAGCCCTCACCTCCTTAAACCCCATTCTCAGTCCTGGCTTCACTGCAGGTGCTATAAATACAAAAACATAATGTACCAGCTGGTGAAAAGGTATAATCTGTTTGCCACACTGATACGCGATCAAATATCAGGGAATGAGTTGCATACGTTTGCAGTAATCCAGACAACTACAAGGCCCAGATATACGAACAAAACTCTATGCAGACGAGTCAATTTCTGACCTAAATGATCACTAAATCTAGACAAGCGTCTATTGCCTAAAACTTTTAACAGCTATTTTGCCACCACCCGAAAATTAGTCATTTCTATTAATAAAATCTGAAATCCTAGTTGAAACCCTATTCTGTGAAGACTCCTCAGAGATTGCTGAGAAATAACACCCATCGTCTCTAGGACTACTGTTATGTCCTATTGAATCTGAAAATATTGATGAGACATGAATGATCATCCAAACACTAACGATGTATTGAGCAATCAAGTTATTCCAGAACTACAATGGCTGGAGCAGAAAGAGAGTAATTTTGTATTTTAACATGTCAACTAATCAACAAGCGTCTTTCACCAACACTATTTCCTAGTATAAGAATAGTTTGATTACTTAATTGTCATGATAGAAAAGTGTCCTTAATTTGTGCCATGTGTAATGTGTACTACAATGGAAACCATCATGTTAAACAAGTGCATGGGTGCAAAAACGACTTTGTTCTGATTACTTCATTGTCATCATAGAAGAGATGTCCTAAATTTGTGCTGTGTAATGTGTACAATATGACATTCATTAAAATGATGTAAATTAGCATTTTCTCTTACCTCTACTAATTAATAAAACGCTCATTGTCAACCAAAACCCTATGAAATTATCAGTTTAACCCTCTAATTAAAACAAAACATGAATAAGAAATATGGGGCAGAAATGTAATTTCACACAACTAAATTTTGTTGTTTTTTATCAAAGCCTCACCTACATGTAATCCTAACATATCTCTACTTAAAAAAAAAAAAAAAAGAACAAAAAAAAAACTTCCCCACTCCCACATTCTCTATCATTCTCCTCCTCTCTCCTTCTATTTCAAAAACAAAAATAAAAAATTTTCTCACACACTTTGTGTGTGCCCATATGCTAGTTGTTATTATAGAAACCATCATGTTAAACAAGTGCATGGGTGCAAAAACAAGTTTGTTCCAACAAAAATTAGTTCCTTACCTCAGGAAGAACAGAAAGGAGAGGTAGAATTTCTTGAACGGATGCAAGTTGGTTGAAAACTAATGCTGCTTCATCCGAGTTCGTTTGCTGATTCTTGTATGGGGTATCGTCTCTGATGAACTACAAGCCAAAGTTGATATTGATCAGTAACTATTAACTAGCAATCTTAAGATTACTCGTCAACTGAAAAAGTCACATGCTTTAGTGTTAAATAAAATGAATACAAATAATTAGCAACAAAGCTTACTCATACTATTTTTTTTTTTTTTTTTAATACTAGTGTATCTGAGTCTTTGACCCGACTAATCACTAGCCCCCCACAACATTTGGGGAGCGAGAAAGTCTAGCATTTGCTAGGTGGGTACCGTGGGAGAGAGTTGAACCCCAGACCACTTGGGAGCAAACCAAGGACCTGAACGCTAGACCAACAACTCTCACGTCATACTATAAAATGAAGTTATTGCAACAAAATTGCCTAGAACATACTAGAACATGGTAAGTCCAAGTGAAAAGTAACTTTCTTAAAATGATATCTTCCCTTTAAAGGTTCCAATTCACAAATATTTAGAAGGTTGTTTAAATTGAACCCCAAAGCTGCTTTGCCTCCATCTTTTCCAATTATCCAAACAGCTACTCTTGTTTGTCACAGAGATGTCATCAGAGTAATTAATTTATTAATTGAACTCATGTGAACAGCCGCTACATTTAGGCCAAAGAAGTTGAAAAGAGCCTTAACACCAATCTAGGAGACAATCTATAAAGAACTTCCAGCACTCAAAATGACCTATCAATAGATATTTTTGTATTTTGTCACACAGAAAACTGTTTGAAAAAAGAAACCATCTGATAAAGAAGAAAAGAATAGTTGATATTCATATTGATCAAAACTTAGATTTACTAACATATCTAGACTCCACATACTTTCATATCAAAACATAAATGGCATCACCGAACTACTGTTAGAAGTTTCCGAGGAAAGTCCTAAGCTATACCACAACCAGAAACCACACCAACTCCACTATGCCAAACAAGCTCAAAATCTTACTGGTTTGGAGTTTTCATTTCTTTGCAACCCTGACAGCAATCGCAGAAGGCGACGGAGTGTTCTTAAGTTGATTTTGTCTTCATTGGTCATTGTTGAGATGGACAAGGTAGCAGCGAAAGGTATACTTGTCATAATAGAATCCAAGGTTGCCAGCCCAAGTGCGTCCAATCCCTACCATCAGTTGTGGAAAGAAATAGAAAGAAAAAAATAAATAAATTACCAAACAACAATAAGAATAGCAAGAACAAAGACCAAAATAAATTGAATACAAAAATTAGACTTGTAACCTGAAAGAAGAAATTCAAACTTGGACCGACTTAAATGCTTTCACCATTATACTGTGGATTACAACTAAAATAACAGGCATATGACGAATAATTCTACCTTAACAAATTCTTGAAGAAGTAGGTCCCTCACAAATGCACCCTGAAATTGCATTATTATATCATTACAAGTAAAGAAAGATATGAAATTGATTTTATGATTCGGGCTTCCCAGATTGAAGATGAATAGGAAATAAGTACGTAAACATTCGTACCTTCTCTGCCAACATAAAAGAAAGGACTTGTTTGACAACTACCCTAGAATTAGCATCATCTTCTTGCTTTCTTGACATGACCTTCTCTGTTCTAGCACGGAGAGCCTACAAGAAAACAGTAATTGACATTTATTCAAACATCATGTGAGCTTCTACATACGCTAAACAAGACAAGATTAGAAAGCTAACATGCAACCAGGGGAATTTAGAAAGGCTACTCGTGTTCTGAAGCTGGTAATAGCTGAGGTACACTCAAGGTCAACCTAGAGTAGATTTCTTTATGGACCAGGAGTCCATGTAGCTGTTCGGACAAATATGTGGATAGCATTTTCTGCTATCATGTTATGACTAGAGCATCCAACACAATTAATTGGCAATTGGTGTAGAGGCCCAAGATCTTAAACTACTAATGCAAGTCTTTCATTTCCCATGTGGGGCAAATACTCTCAACTAGGTATTGAGATTTGAGATAACTAAGATGTTAGTGTGAGCCAAAATGCATCAAGTATCTAAATCACATGCCATTTGTAATGGAGATTTCACAAGAAACAGACCGGGAAACCTACATCTCAATCATAAAATTGGGAAACCAGACTAATTAAGAAAATATAGGAAGCGGTAGTTATTACCTCAGAAAGTAAAGACTCTAGACGGTCGATATTGAAAACGCCATCCTGATAAGGGAGGATTTAGGAATTAAGGCTGTGGTACAAACTACAAAGGATATGGTGCACATAGACAGTTTTAAATTAATGAAGCAACCGAACAAAGATACATAACTCAAACACTTAAGAATGAAAAAATTGTATGAAACCTTCACCTCATAAAGAAGGGCCTGCAGGGAGGACTTGAGCTCTATTGAGCTGTCTGTTAATACTTTTCGAGCAATCCATGGGTATGTGCTACCTAAAACTTTGTAATCTGGGTTGAAGCCAATGGCAACACCTTCCAATACGGCAAGGCTGAGAGATATAAAAGAGTATTAAACAACACAAAATAACACCACTGTTTAACATTTGGTAGGCACTTAAATGAGAGAACTTCTCACAAATTCCAGATTTATCGTATCCAACTAAAATGTCTTGTTGAGTCCAGGAATTACAAAATATATTGATCTGTTCATGCTTCCACGGGTTTTCAAAGTAAATCTTGCCGATCCAATTTTTGAGCCATATAGATGACTTGTAAGCCTAATGTACCCACTAAATTATAAGTTTTTCCCTTGGTGCCCTATGATAAAAAACAATATTCATGATATGCTTTAGAAAAGAAGTATATTTGTTCACCTCCACATTTGTGTTATGTGCAAAAAAAACAGCAAGAACAAAGGGATCGCATGTGGGCAATGCTCTCCATCCGATTCAATAATACAAACTGTTCATATATTAGATCCCATTGAAGTATTATCCTCCAAAAAAAATAGAAACCCATTTAGTCATCTAACTATCATCAAACAGACAGAAGAGCACTGTTTATTTCAATACAATGATAGGATGATAACCAGATGACTAAGCGATTTCTAACTTGGTCAATGTTGGCAGAGATGATTCATCAAGGAACCTAAAAGTTTAGAACCCTACAATTTGCAATTTTGGTAAAGGATTGTCGTCGCAAAAAAATAAAGAAGTTATGTGATGATCAGGTGAAGTGGATTTAACTTGTCACAGAATGAGTCTATTACTTCTCTTTGAGTATCATAATCAAATATAACTTGACAGTGCAAGAGGTCCATTTTATATTTTTGGAAAGTGGAAACCCAAAAGTACCTTCGAATGACAAGAGAAAAATAAGAAGGTATACGAAATTTGAACTTGTACCTGAAACAAACAAAGAGAAAATCTATCGAGTCATTAATGAAAAATAATACCTAAAGCACACAAGTCAACTTCAATATAACAGTAGATTCTTCCAATCTTCAGGAACTATGACAGAAAGTGGTTACTTTTTGAAGGCAAAGATTCCTTGGATATCATCAGAAGTAGGGCAAACAGAGAAATATAAGTTATAATATTGTGTGGTCTTGCACAACTTTGCCTACACCAATTACAAGAGAAATTCCACTTAGACAAGAGGTTCTATAAGCTTAAGTTAAACAAGTTTTTCATACGTCGACAGCCCCTAGAATGGTTGCTTGTTTGCCAGCATAAAAAAGAAAGTCTGAATTTTCCATGGAAGCTGGCTCGAAATATTGGATCTTGGGTGCATTGCCCCAATGTGGATGAAACACATGTGCCTTACTGGACTTCAAGGGCTTTATTCTCCAAAATCAAAGGGAAGATGCTGATGTTGGTGGTGGTGATGGAGGTCGTGATAACAATAATAATGACGGGAATGAAATGGATGCCACTGAAGTTGACTTTTCATTTATAAATGTATAAGATATATCTTTGAAGGGATAATATGAAATGAAAAATGACTTACATGGTGGCTCCTAAATCTCCCAATAGGTCTCCAAAGCTAATATTGCGCACCCCTTTGGCAACAGCATTCTGAAAGACACCTAAAGAACAGCAATACAGGTCTTATCAGACCAATTAATGGAGCCCCTCCACAGAAAGAGTTCACTAACTTAAACGTTTAATCCCAACAAACCAGACTGAATCCATAGGTTCAAGAAGACACAAAAAGAAACCTGTTAAAGCCTTTGTAACAGCTTCCTTGTCTGCAGTTGGTGGAATAAATCTGAAGAGTTTGTCAGAAAATTACCAAGTAACTACCAGCAAATACAACAAGAAAAACCTGTTCAGAAATTGAAGAAATAGACAAACATGATACCCAAGAGTAACAAAGTCCTTAGCCAATGCACCAAAATCACGGTTTACAAGATGGAGAGAAGCTTCAATAAATCCAATGCGGAGTTCTTGATTAAATTCACCCATCATACCAAAATCTGGTGGTGGAACCGTGGAAGATATTAAAAGTTAAATCTGATTGATATACAATATCTGTAAGTACATAACAGGAACAGTAATTAAATAGGCATAGTGTGCAAACATAGTACGACAGATAAATCAAACATATAAGCAATCAATGAGACACAAATTGATTAAGGAGAGCCTAACAGTGACCATAAAAACTACCATTCAGTTATATTAATTCAATATAAAATTATAAATGACTTTGTATGTGTAAAATAAATTCATCAATTCCTTGAACAAATTTTTTTATTAGAAAACCTAGTACTCAATTACAAAATCAAGTTATTATAAGAGGCCTATTTTGTCTCAGACAGGCTCCTACTATCCACCGTCCTTTGTAAGTAACTATTCTTTCTTGCTCAGCAGCAACTACGATTTATTATTCCACCATTTTTACACATTTCCTTTTGTTATGTACAAAACATGTACAGTTATTGACACCTGTGCGCAAGGCTCGTACCTAAATAAGCAAGTTTCCCATCATATGTACGAAGAAGATTTCCAGGGTGTGGATCTGCATGGTAGAATCCACATTCCAGAAGTTGATTGAATGAGCAGTACGTCCCTACCTAATCAGAACCAAGAAGAGGGCATTTTATTTAGCACTAATACAAAGTAAAAAATCAGAGAAATTAATAAATTCAGTAATGCCAAAAATTAAATTTTGTTTAGCGTATGACCTCAACCAAGTAAAGATCATTCACTTCTGACAGCTTCTGCCCCTAGTATATAAGTAAACAAAAATAAAAACATAAGTTGAAACGAAATCAACAACTAAACAGCACATAAAAATACATCTTTAAGGAAAATATTTCAAGTACTTAGGTCACATACAACTACCAGTTGCAATTCATATGATATTCAGGAGTGATTTTACTTAAGAACTTTGCCTTAAGTTACAAAAGAAATGGGATAGAGAAAAGTTGTACCATGGATACCCAGCATTTAAGGATCTTTTGTTTACAAAGAAACAAATAAAAATTCAGAATCAAAACTTGAGCTTAGAACTTAATAGTGCAATAGTTACAAAATAAACTCTGATATTATTTAGTTACAAAAGCTCATAGGAGCCCTGAATCTAAAGTGGTTTCGTAATTCACATTCATGCACTCAAATTAAATGAAATAATTTAAATAGAATGGTCACCAAGCCATTTGAAGTTGTCCTTTCTAGGGTTTGGCATCCAGACAAGTGAATAAAGACAAAACAACCGCAATAGCAATTACCTCCACCCATTCCATCACAAGAACCCTGCGAGTTGTGTAATCCAGATACATTTCCGGAACCAAAACATCGGGTATACCACCGTATAGCTGTCTGATCACAATTAGAGCATCAATATAGATATTAAGTTCAATATGAATCATAAAATTGATAACAAGTGGAAAGGATTTAAGGTTATCAAGGAAGTGAAAGAAAAAGTAAAATGACGCTTTGAAAATTTCATGATGGTACTGTAAGGTCAATGCCAAAAAATGTTACTGCAGCTGAAACAATTTTTCATCTCTAATATTTAGAGAATATTATCAAGCATCATTATCATATTTAACTAGTGAAGCATCAGGCAGGAATCAAGATAAGAGCATAGAACTATTGCTTAGTTCCAAAGGATAAAGCCTACAAATTGAAGCTTTTTGGTGATCATGAGACAATTCATAATCAAAATTTCACAGTAACTTATTTGCTTAGAGTATAAAGTATAACATTTCAAGAGATAGAAACGAGGTACCTTAAATTAGTTAACCTATAAGCTTAGTAACCTTTCAACGAAACAAAATTAATAACAATATATCAATTATGTAAGGAAGAGGAAAATAATATCATCTCAGCTCAGAGAGAGGAAAAGAAAGGAAAGTGACAAATTGAAGCAGGAAAAAACAATCCTGGGGATTATTGCTAAAGCATTTATCAAGTATCCTCTGTTATAGGGTAATTGGCACATGAATCCGGAAAGACCCACGTTAATACACTCAGAAATTCTAAAAGGTATAACTTATGACACCTGAGACATTAATCATGTGACAGAGAGAGACTTAAGGACAATGAACCTCAAATACATGCATAAATTGTATTGCTGCATAAAAAAAGTAGACAGAACTTTCAATTATATGTTCTTGTGTTTAGATGGGCTCTATTTATTATGCTTTGAATTTAGCTCCTACATAACTATCAATCACTAAGATAATGTAAATTTGAAATCCCTGTTCTTACCTGAATCTGATACCATTATTTGCTTCAGTTCTGTAGTCCATCTCCTGCATTCAATATGATTTACCTGTATTCAATATAAAGTTCTAAGAATAAACCTTATACAGCCAAAATGATATCATAGATAATAGAATGATATTTAGGGAATTACAAATGAAAAAGGGAAGCAAGTAATAACACATGACAAAATTGAAGGTATGCTGCTATAAGTAGCAAGCCAATAAATCAACAAGGAGCATAAAGGGGTCACTTTTTACCCGAAAAAGACTTGATGCCCATTCATCAACAACTGCCTGCATGTCAAGTTCACGTAGATGTTATGAAAAGCCAAGAAGGTGTCAAAAGATACAAATAAAAATAAAAATAAAACAAAAATATGCGCATACACATTGTATCATACATTGGTATGCACTAATGTTTGTTTGTATAGTTAAAATCATCATCAATGCCATAATGGATGCGTAAATTTTTATCTCATTGACACTATACTAGATGGGTGGTGCAATACTAGGTTACATGTTGCAACATTACCTGAAGATCAGTGTTTAATTTTCTTATTCTCCTAAGTAGACCAGCTAGAAAACGCAAGATCAATATGTCTAAGGAAATAGCAGCTTGTACTCCTGGCCTTTGCACCTTTACTGCAACAAGCTGTCCCGTACGGCGAAGCCTGGCTTGATAAACCTAGCATCAGAGAGACACAGGAATATTTATGAATTTGAATTTCAAGATAAAAATAAAGACAGAAAATGCCAAAACCTAAGTTACAGGATCAAGAAGAAAGCATAAACAAATCAAACCTGTCCAAGGGAAGCAGAAGCTACAGGTTCCGGTGAGATCTCTGAGAAAAGCACTTCTATCGGTAAACCAAGTTCTTGTTCTATTGTGTTTATAGCAACTTCCGTAAAAAATGGAGATATTCGATCTTGCAACAGTGAGAGCTCATCCAAGTATGATGGTGGTATCAAGTCCTTAAAAAGAAAGAGCAAAGTTAATAGGAAAAGCAAAGCTACTGATGAGATAGACCCATAAATCTAAGGGCCTATTTGTTATCCTTCTTGGATTCAATTTCTTGTTTTCAGAAATGATGAATGTAACTAAATTAATGAATACTCATTTCAAAACTATAAAAAATAAATAAATAAATAAATAAAATAAAAAAAAGAAAAGAAAAGAAAAAGGATCCAAGAAGTATACCAAACAACCCTAACATTCTGCAAAAAAAAAAAAAAAAAAAAAAAACTAAATAATGATCCTTTACTCTCTTTTGTCTTCAACGACTTTTAAGAAGTACTTTAATATAATTGGGCAGGACACATCAACTTCCTTTGCAGTGAGAAATCAATGAAAATTTAACATCCACAGAGAGGACTCAAGGCATCAATTATTTGTTTACAAATGCACAATCACTGCTTTAGAGCTAAGAGATGACACACTTTCGTGGATAAGTGGCACTATGGAATCCCAGAACTACTTTTGGAAACAATGCCAATATCTCAGCGACTAAAACACTAAGACATGAAATATATAAGGATGGCTAAATTTCTTAGAGAATTCATCAAGAATGTCTACAGAAGCTGGCCTATACGCATAGTGATCTTGGGGATGCATGAGAATTACTCTGAAAATTAGTTTTGTATGTGACGGGAAACTGTCACCAAGGCATTCTGAAATATCCAATTTGCACATGAGGCCTTAAAAGCATTAATTTTCGAAAAGTGCATTACATATTAAAAGTGAAGGCAGACATTCTGAAGGAATATGTAATTTGACATTTCACCAAGGTAGGAAGAACATCATGCTCCAATAACTGTAAAGTATGAGCAACTTACTGGTCGAGATGAGATGGCCTGAGCAATTTTGACATATGCCTATAAGATTAAGAAAAAAACATAAAAAAAGTTGAACTTAATTAACAACTAATCAACTATACAACAACAAATCACAAATAATTAACAACTGTAATCAAGTGAATCTTTGAAGTCCATGAAAAGGATAATCAAAGTAAATTCAGCAGAAGAAGCTTATTGTAATTGTAAGTGAAACAGAGGGAAGAAGTAAGCATAACGCACCGGTCCGAGTTCTACCAGAATATTCCGAAGCTCGGCAGCTCTAAGCTGCAACAAAACAAATTAACCAATATTAATTAATACTGTAAACGTAATAACAAATTCAGAACAAGAACAGAATTACAGACTGACCTCGAACATTCGGTCAGAGCGCTCCGTCAGGTTATCAATGTAGCGAACCGCGAACCACTTGCCGAAAGTGAAGGCAATCTGAGAGAGTCGGCGGAGAAGAATCAGAGGCTTCCGCCGGTAAATGGCGCCGATTTTGGAGATATCGTAGTCGGCTATGGAGTTGGCCTCGGGGGCGCTGAGCTCGAAGAGGTAGCCCGACTTCTTGGTGAAGGCGTCGAGTTCGACGACGTCGTTTCCGGCGGCGCATCGCAGAATGGAGAGACGATGGCGGGGGCGGGGGAAGGAGGATGAAGAGAACCGCCGGGGGGGGTTTGGTGCGGAAGGGGAAAGGAAGGAGGAGGGGAGAGAAGGCGAGGGGAGGCGGAGAATCATTTTCTGGAAGGGAAGCGAAGAAGTGGAGGAGGAACTGGAATGGTGGGGAAGTGAGCGTTGTGGTGTGTGAAATGAGCGGAAGGCGGATTGGAATTTGGAGAGGAGGTTTTGTGGAATTTGAACCACTCGTGTTATGCAGTCGTGTACGAATTGAATGAATAAATCAATGTTGAAGAATGCTTGTCTGCAAGTGAACGTTGCATTTCGCGGCCGTTTCTTTTTTGGATAATGGGCCTTTTGTTTTCCGTATTTAGGCCGAAATGTATTTGAAAATGTTGAAAATGCTACTGGTGGTTAATCAATGCTTACACTGATATTAAAAATTTTGGTAGACTTTTTCAACATCTACGTAGATTAGATTTGCAATATTGGCAGATGAATAAAAATATTAGCAGTGTTGATATGTAGACTTGGAAATGAAGGAAATCATTTTTCAAAAGGTGTGTTGTAAATTTTTAAAGTGTAATAATACAAAGTTGCTCTATAAACAGAGCACTTTGACTGCTATCAACAGATATAAAAAAGAGAGAGAATAGAAAGATAAATAACATAAGTATCTATTCCTCCCATTTTTATTAGTAATTCCCTTGTGTTACAATTATAGTGTGATATATTACACTTGCTTCGCTCCTGTCACTAGTAAAGATTATCTCTCTAACTTTTACCTATTTATAACACGTTATCAGCACGACTCTCTAAATATAACTATTCCTCATTTCTCTTTGCCGAAAGAAAACAAAATGTTTCCTCTAAGGATTTTACTGTTCATCTTCTTCCTCTGCATCAACTGCTGGATATACATTTGCGAAGAACTGTTTGCACCATGCCTGCTTTTAGTTCTCAACCTAACAGTTACATATATTTTTTATTTCTTGTTTGGTGTGGATCTTAATTACTAAATCAGTGTTTATTTATGTTAATTTTACTTCAATTCAAGATGGTGCGATACAATCGTCCATTTTGAACTGCAAATTTAATCTTACTGCAATCCATGATGGTGCGGTATCATCGCCTATCTTAGATTGCAGATCTAATTTTACTGCAAATTTTAGATGGAGCGGTATAATCGCCTACCCTACCCTGCGTATTTAAATTTGTCTGCTGTTTAATTTCATTGCAATTTTAGGTGGTGCGGTATAATCGCCCACCCTACTTTGCATATTTAAATTTTCCTGTTACTTGAGTGGTGCGGTATAATTGCCCTCCTCATTCATCATGTAAATCTCGAGCCAGAAGTTTCAAGTGCTTATCATTTTGGCCTGAATATCAAAATAAAAAATTTGTAAGAACCAGAAGTTCTAACACTATATACCTCTAGGAATACATATTATTACAAGTTCTTACACATCTCATTTTTTTTTTTTTTTAGAAAGAAAAGAAAATGGCGAACTTGGCAAAACTTGATTTTGCTGCCCTGGACATTACAGGGAAGAATTACCTTACCTGGGTAATGGATACCAAGATCCATTTGGAAGCAAAGAATCTTGGAGATACCATTAGGGAAGAAAACAGCTCATCCTCTCAAGATCGAGCGAAGGCCATGATCTTTATTCGTCGTCATCTTGATAAGGGATTAAAGAGTAAGTACTTAACGATTGAAGATCCATTAACTCTCTGGAAAGTATTGAGAAACAGATGCAATTATCAGATAACGATGATTCTTCCAAAGGCTCGCCAGTGGCTAAGTACAATTTTGCATTGTTCAGAATTACCTTTTAGATGAAGCTCTGTATGGATACCATTATTGAGGAAGATACGTTGGAAAAGACTTTTAGCATATTTCATGCCTCTAACGTGCTCCTCCAACAGTAGTATAGAGCGCGAGGCTTCACTGAATACAACCAGTTGATCTCTGTGCTCCTGGTTGCTGAACAAAACAATGAGTTTCTGATGAAAAATCATCAATTCCGACTTACTGGATATGCATCATTCCCAGAAGTGAATGATGCTTCCCTCGAAATGAACGCCACTTCCTCTGGTGGCAACAATCGTAAACGAGGACGTGGCCACAGGCGAGGACGGTGGAACGAGAAAGGCAAGAATTATGGTGTCTAGTTTCACAACTAGGTTCCGAGGCATAATTCAGGCCCGAACTTCAAAAATGAAAATCGTCACAAAGGTAAAGCTCGTATGAACAATACTCCTCGAAACTCTGACGGAGCCTACTATAGGTGTGGTGTCGACAAGCACTGAGGGCGTACGTGTCGTACGTCAAAATATTTGGTGGATCTATATCAAGCCTCCCTCAAGGAAAAGGGTGTCGAGACCAATTTTCTCGACCAGGCTAAACCAATGGATATACCTGATCCAGTGTGTGACTTATCAAGGTAGTTGAACACAACTCACCTAGAGGTCTCAGACTTCATGGTGGAAAGGGGAAATGAAGTATACCGGTCTGATTGAATCATTGATGTTTGATGTACTTTTATTATGCTGAACTTGTAGTTTAAAAATTAGCATTTTAGATTCAATAAAAATGGCTTTTAAATTTCCTGTTATAAATTGCTTTTAAGTGTAATTCCCTTCCTCAGAGAGTATGGATAAAAACTACGGTCATTCTCAAAACATGAGAACTAGCGGAGATATTTGTCTTGCAGACAACGCAACCACATATACAATACTTCTAGATCGAAAGTATTTCTCAAGATTGATGCTTACAAAAGTAAGGATAACAACAATATCAGGACAATCAGATATGATTGAAGATTTAGGAAGAGCCCAGATTATGGTACCAAATGGAACAATATTGTCTATACATAATGTTTTATACGCTACTCGATCTATTTGAAATTTGTTGAGTTTTAAAGACATTCGTTTAAATGGATACTACATTGAAACAAAAAAGTACAGAAAATACTGAGTATCTATGCATTACCTCCAATGATACCCAGAAGCGTATATTGAAGACGTTGTGTGGTTTGACGAGTAGACTGTATTATACATACATAAAGACAGTTGAATCATATACTGTCATGAACCAGAAGTTCATTGATTCAAAAGTTTATGTGCTTTAGCATGACCGTCTGAGTCACCCAAGATCTACCATAATGCGTAGAATCATTACCAACTCTAATGGACATCTATTATTGAGAAGACACATTGATATCTCAAATGAAAACCTTTACAAGGTTTGTTCTCAAAGGAAGTTGGTAATTAGACCATCATAACTAAAAGTTGATGCTGAATCCTCATCATTTCTGCAAAGAAGTCAAGGGGATATTTGTGGGCCTATCCAACCATCTTATGGACCGTTTCGATATTTTATGGTTTTGGTTGATACATCTACTCAATGGTCACATGTTTGTCTCTTATCTACTTAGAATGTAGCTTTTGCGAGACTTCTTGCTCAGATAATTAAGTTACGAGCACAGTTCCCAGATTACCCCATTAAGTCAATCCGACTTGATAATGCTGGTGAATTTACGTCTTAAACCTTTGATGATTACTGCATGACATTGGGCATCGATATTGAACACCCCGCTCCTCATGTCCATACTCAGAATAGTTTAACAGAAGCATTGATCAAGCGGTTTCAGTTAATAGCTCGCACTCTGCTTATGAAAACAAAATTGTCAATTTCTGCATAGGGACATGCTATCTTGCATGGTGCATCATTGGTTCAATTGAGACCTATAGCCAACCACCAATACTCATCAATACAACTCGTGTTTGGGCATCAGCTAAACATTTCACATTTACGAGTTTTTGGTTGTGATGTTTATGTACCTATTGCACCACCACAACGCCCTAAAATGGACACCAGCGCTGACTGAGAATTTATGTAGGTTTTGATTTACCATCTATCATTAGATATTTGGAACCCTTGACAGGTGATATGTTTACATCTCATTGTGCTGATTGTCACTTTGATGAAACAGTCTTCTCGTCGTTAGGGGGAAAAAAGACCATTCCAAAAGAACGAAAAAAGCTATCATGGGTTGTTCCCACCTTATCTCATTTTGATCCATGTAGTACTCAATGTGAAAATGAAGTGAAAATGATCGTTCATCTTCAAAGTATTGCTAATCAAATGTCAAATGCATTTAATGATGCTATGAAATTAATAAAATCACATATACCAGCTACAAATGCACCTGCAAGAATTGATGCCCCTATTGGACAAAATAAAGTGCTAGCAAATGATTTATCTGGTGCACGCCTGAAGCATGGTAGACCTTCAGGTTCAAAAGATTCAGCCCTTCGAAAGAGAAAGTCGAGAGTACACTGAATCCAAATGAAATCATTCAAGAAGAAAAAAAATGAATGACACATCTGTATTCATGATTTTGTACTTTCAGAAAAAGAAAATATCCTTGATGAGACACATGTACCTGAAGAAATAGAGGTACATGAAAAAAAAAAACTCTATAAATTATGCTTGTACTAATGAATTATAGGATTGGAATGAAATAATCATCGACGGCATGTTTGCATTCGCAGTAACCAATGAAATCATATTAAGTGATGATCTTGAGCCCTACTCTGTTGATGAATGCAAACAGAGACAAGATTGGTCTAAGTGGAAAGATGCAATTTAGGCAAAATTAAATTCCTTAGAAATGCGAAATGTTTTTGGACCAGTAGTCCAAACCCCACATGGCGTCAAACCCGTGGGTTTCAAATGGATATTCACAAGGAAACGCAATGAGAACAACGAGATTGCAAGATATAAAGCACGACTCATCGCAAAAGGTTTTTTGCAAAGACCTGGAATTGATATGAGGAGACATATTCTCCTGTAATGGACGCAATTACGTTCCGTTACTTAATAAGTTTAGTGGTTTCAGAAAAACTTGACATGCCACTTATGGATGTCATCACCGCGTATCCATATGCAGAATTAAATGCTGACATATATATGAAAGTCCCAGAAGGACTTAAGTTGCCTGAAACAACTAATAAACCATGAGGTATGCTCTCAATCAAATTAAGGAGATCATTGTATGGGCTGAAACAATCTGGGACGAATGTGGTATAATCATCTCAGGGAGTATTTGATTAAAGAAGGATATATCAACAATGTCAT